TTACCATGTAAGTTACCATGTAACTTACTTACCATGTATGTTACCATGTAACTTACTTACCATGTAAGTTACTATGCTAACTTACACTTAGCACTTTCATTCTTCCAGATTTCCGAGCCAGACAGAGAGAATACCAGAGGGGAAGTGGGAAAATGAGGGCAGATAAGTAGGTGGGTGTGAAACCAAGGAGGATTTCAGATTTATTCTAAGTTGATAGGAAAAATATTGGAGGGTTTCAGCATGAGACCTAAACTATCTACTAATTTCTTATACCACTCTTTTGCTCTACGTTATGTAGGATGGATTAAAAGTAGAATCGGAAGAATGAGTAGGAAGCTGATGCAGTGCCTCAGCCAAATATAGTTGCTTGAATTATAATAGTGACAGAGGAGATAGTGAGACGTGGTTTTATTTGAAATAGTGCATGTAACAAGAGTTAACAGGACTCATACATGGATCACACGTAGGAAGCAACAGAAAGACATCAAAGACAGCTTCTGAGATCTTGGGGTGAGTAACTAGTTAGATACTGATACAGCTGACACATAAGCCCAGGAACTCAACAGACTGGCAGAGTGTATGGGGAGGGATGCTCGAGAATCAAGGGGTTGGTTCTGGATTTATAAAATTTTGGATATTGATTTGAAATCCAAAGTGGAGTTATCTAACTGTTAGAGGGAATGTTGATTCATTCAAACTTTTCTTTATCAGCTTTTCTAATGTAACGATTAAAGAATGGAAGCAACGTGTTCTATGTAAGTCAGCTATAAAGCACAATAATAAAGAGAACACTCTGCAACGTCATAAATCAGGAAACAGGTACCTATTTGGGTGCTTCCCAATCTCATTCATCTTGTTTCTTTTCAGACCTAAACTTTAACTTGAATTTTGTGGTTCCCACTTTCCTGCACTTTAAAAGCTACCAATTCTCATTACATATGTATGCAGCTATAAATACACATGGTTTACTTTTGCTAAATTATGAGCATTAGAAACAAAAATTATACTATATATAGTCTTCTGGGACTTGCTTTAATTTTTTCCCCTGTAAATACTTGTATATTAGACTGAAAATATTTTTTCCTAGTGTTATGTAATAAAAACCTCATGGATTTCTGTTAATTACTAATAGAATAAAAAGGTTAAAATCATAAAATAGAGTTTAACAGACTCAAGTAAGAGGACCTAGCATGAATTGAGGTAGAATCACAGAACAAAGAGTACAGAAGTTTGTGAAGAAGCAGTATTGGAAGAGACCGATGCTGAAAACGTTCCTGAACTTGTGATCGACTTAAATTTACAAACAGGAGAAGTAAAACAAATGTGATACGAATCAATTCTCAATGTAAGAAACACAATTAGTGAAGCGGCAGGTAATAAAGACAAGAAGAATGACGAGCAGATTCGGAGCAATCATTTTTAACACAGCAAAGAAAGCCAAAAGCCAGGGAAATATCTTCCAAATACTGGTAGAAATAACAGGAAGAGCTGTTGTATACGTATGTAGTAGAACAATTTTAAACATCAAGGACAAAATAGAGAAAATGAAATCCAAAGATCTCACCATTTGGACTTTCACTTAATGAACCTCCAAAAGATATACTTTAGGAAGAAGGGAAATGATCCCAGAAGAGATGTCTGAAGTGCATTTAGAAGGGAAAGTTAATCAACTTATGTGCAAATTTTAATAAATATTGTACGTATATACTGACTAAATTCTTAACTTTCTTTTTAAACTGGATAAAACAGAAATAAACTATACTCAAAAACAGCAGGAAACCAGGGAAAGGGGTCATCAGATACAGTGTTTTAAGTTCTTTGGATCTTTAGGGTTGAGATGAAGCTATACATCAACTTTAAACTTTAATATAAAACTCAAAAATAATTATCAATAAAATAGGAATAGATTAAAAAGTCTCCAAAATCTTCTTGGTGACTTTTGCAGAAAGAAAAATTCATTGAGAAAAATCTCAATCCGAAAGTAGACAAGAAAGGAAAGCAAAGGGACCATAGAACTGGACAAAAGCAGCACAAAATAACATGTTAGAAACAGATACAGTGAAAAAAAGAAAGGTTAGATTGCATTTTTTTTTAATTTTTTTTTTCAACGTTTATTTATTTTTGGGACAGAGAGAGACAGAGCATGAACGGGGAAGGGGCAGAGAGAGAGGGAGACACAGAATCGGAAACCGGCTCCAGGCTCTGAGCCATCAGCCCAGAGCCCGACGCGGGGCTCGAACTCACGGACCGCAAGATCGTGACCTGGCTGAAGTCGGACGCTTAACCAACTGCGCCACCCAGGCGCCCCAGATTGCATATTTTTAAGAGTTCTTGGGGCTCCTGGCTGGCTCAGTGGGTAGTGCGCCCAACTCTCGATCCCAGCCCCACTTGGGTGTAGGGATTACTTAAAAATAAAATCTTTCTTTTTTTTTTTTTAAAGTTTATTTATCTGAGAAAGGGGAAGAGAAAACGAGCATGCTTGCGTGTGTGCACACACACACTTATGCGTGTGTGCACAAACAGGGGAGAGGCAGAGAGAGAGAGGAAGACCAAGGATCTGTGATGACAGCAGGGAGCCCAGTGTAGGCGGGCTCACACTCAAGAACCACAAGATCATGACCTGAGCTGAAGTCAGATGCTTAACCAACTGAGGTACCCGGGTGTCCCCCAAATAAAATCTTTAATAAAAAAAAAAAGTGTTCTTTATAGAAGACAAACCTAACACAAAGTAAAATATGGGAAAATATTTTAAAAAGAAATAAAATTTAGAGTAAAAATATATAGTATGTATATATTAATTTAAAAATCAGTAAGACTCAATTTACTGTGGTTTACCAACAGGAACGAAAGAAGAAATTGACAAATTTATTGTTCGTTTGCCAAGTTCAAAAGCCTTTCTAATTAAGAATACAGTCAGGTAAGAAGTAAAAAAGAATCTGGAAGTTTTGAAAAACAGAATTAACAGGTTTGATCTGTGGACAGGAAGAGAATTTGGTGCCTTACAGAAAACTTGTATTCATTTTCATTAATATGGGATATTTTGAATAATGACTCATTAGACCTTAAAGACTTTTTTTTTTTTTTTTTTAACATTTTCATTTAAAGAATACCAAGATGCTGATATCTTACCATGTCTCGATGAGATCTCAAACTTCCTTTCTCTGGACATTTGTAGTAAACATATGTACAAAAACTAATTTATACCATAAGATTTCAAACACCAAATCTCTGCACATATCAGTACATTTTAATATATCATTTTCTGGAGGAATGAGAAAATATTTTACCTTGAATTAAAGTGATATTTTTCAATGTCTGAGAGTGTTCCCAATCTTTCAGTCTGAGATCATTAGTGATATTATTCAGTAGTTTCACTTCTCCTTTTATTTCCTGTTCCAAATTCACTTGTTTTTCTTTCATAGACATAATTTCTGCTGATGCATTGTACACACGCTCCTCTAATCTACTCACGTCCTGTGAAACATAAGCAAGCACCCACAATTTTTATTACATACATAATTATCAATATGTAAGTTTAAGAAGCCCTGGAAGTCAAGTGTTTTTTTTTTAAACAAGAATACTATAGAACATTATGGAATAAGAATGTAGAAATTAGAGAACTGTGCTAAGCCAGTAATTTTTTGGCTTTGAAGCATTTCCTCTTTTAACTGAATGGCTGAATTTTTACACCCTATGTCCCCACAAAATTAGTTGAATATATCCAAGGTATGCTTTGATTCCTAAATGTATGCATGTCAAAATGCTGAAAATGAAACAAAAGCTTGTATGATTTTTATCAGAAGTGAAATTTCTTTGTACTGTACTTTGAGTACCTACATATTCTATGAATTTGACAGAATTTGTACATTAAACTGTTTTGTAGCAATAATAAAGTTTAATGTTACAATTCTCAGTGATAAAGAACATTCAAGATAGGTTTTGATATTCAGTAAAATCTCGGAGTGCCTGGGTGGCTCAGTCAGTGGACGGCCGACTACAGCTCAGGTCATGATCTCGCGGTCTATGAGTTTGAGCCCCGCATCGGGCTCTGTGCTGACAGCTCGGAGCCTGCAGCCTACTTTGGATTCTGTGCCTCCCTCTCTCTCTGCCCCTTCCCTGCTTGGTCTCTCTCTCTCTCTCTCTCAAAAATAATACACATTAAAAAATTTTTTTTAATATATTAAAAAAATATTCAGTAAAATCTCAACTAGAATTTTAATATCTTACTTTCAATGTTTATTATTTATGTATTTCAGACATCATTTTGTTTTCAAATACATATATATATTGTGTGTATTTATATACATATGTCCATACATAGATTGTGAACAGATGATATCATACATTTTAGAATATGTTTTCACTTTTCACTCAATAACATATTAAAGATTTTTACCTATTAAAATATTCAGAGACTATTTTCAATGATTTAGTGGAATTATATTTATATATTTTTCATAATGCAAGATTCCTAGAGATCAAGTTTTGAGCTGCATACTCTTTTTACTTCTTTAAGCAATGTTGTAATGAATTTTATATATATATATATATATATACATATATATATATATTTTTTAAACATATTTATACAAGTGCTTCTATAGGACAGCTGCTTGAAAGTAGGTCTGATCAGAGGGACTAAATGCTAAGCTTTTTGTTCAATACTGCCAGTGTCCCCAATATATGGCACTATTTTTTAAACCTTATTCATCATATATCAGTATCTACTTTTAAACCCAAATATGCTGGGTACCTTCAACATATTTAGGTTTGCAGAGTTAAGAGTCAATACATAATACATCATTCTATTTATTCGGTTTTTGAATTATGATGAGGTTAAATATATAGTCATAAAGTTTTTCACAATGTTTATTACTTCTCTTTTCAAGACATTGGCTTGGTTTTCCTTTGGGTGTTGGGCCTTGTTTCTGATGCGGCAACCTTTCTCGTCCATTGTGGCTACATTTTCTGTCTCCCCATTCTAATTTGGTCGCATCCTCTGTCTTCATGGTATGCTCTATACTTTTCTAAGGAAATCTCTACTTAACTGCTGATGTATTCTCATTTCCCACTGGCATATAGAAATCAACCAGGGACACACTGCTCTGTAATCCTAGTACAAAGAGAAAATTACACTTGTCTTGACTTGACAAGTTGAGGTGAGGGGGTCAAGGCAGTCAGGGTGTAAAGCCTTTGAGATAAATGAACAGATATCTAGATTTGTCTCTTCAGTGGCACTATACTCAAGCAGAGAAGCTTATCAAATTGTACCGCTCTAACTCTGCCTTCCCCCATCCAAAACCCTATTCTTTGTTGTCTCTACCCTGTGTCTCCTCCTTCCTTGACTATTTGGCATTTCCCATGCAATATGGTATGTCATGATAATGAAAAGTACAGCACAGGGAATATAGTCAATAACACTGTGATGATGTATGGGGACTGACAGTGACTACATTCTCATGGTGAGTACTGAGTACCGTATAGAGTTGTCAAATCACTCTGCTCTACACCTGAAACTTGCACAGTATTGTATGTCAACCGTGCTTCGATAGTAAAATAAAAGAAATAAAATTTGGAAAAATATGTATAAAAGTAGAATAGTGAAGAAGGACGTTCATAAAGCATAGCAACATAAAAACATGCCCAGCTTAATCTGGGTGCCTACAGATTGCTGTAGGCTGGTTAGGTAGTTAAAGACGTCCATGGAGCAGAGGTCAGGGGACTGGCAGCTGATTTTGCTACCAAAAAGTTACTCCTTGCCCACGTTCTTCACACACAAAGCTGAAGTTGTTGGGTTTTTTTTGTTTTTTTTTTTATTCCCTTTTCTGAAAACTGCATATGGTGCTCATATTAGCCAGATTTCACTTGCAATTGTTTCTAGGGGGAAGACGGAAAGTGCATTTTATTTTTTTTTAAAGAAGCCTATTCAGCAGCCACACACACCTTCCAGACTCTACCATCAGTGGCCCTGCTGGAAACTGGCATTTAATTTTGCAGTCTTACAGCCCTTTCTATGAACAATGGACATGATGAATTCCCACCTCTCTTATTTTGTGCTGGTGTTTTTCCCCTCAAATTGATGTTTGGTCTGTCCTTGATAGGCATCATGCTGGTATCGCTTGGAAGCCTTTCTCTCAAACAACATTTACTGATTGGGGCATTCATTTAATTTACTTATTCCTGAATTAGGTTAAAGATTCAAAGATGGTAAAAGTGTTTAAGCTATGGGATAAGAGGCTGAATATTGTTTTCAGTGAGCACACGTGTGCATACACACGCTCGTAGTGACCTAGTTTCTAAATCTCTACAAGTGATTACTGCCTTAAAAAAATAAATAGCTTTGGAAGTCCCTCCATTCCCTTGTACCTTCGTTTCTAATGATGGGACCCAGTCCAAAACTTAAGTGCAATCTATCCAAACCCAAATAGTTCACTGATCATCACATTTTGATCATTTCCAGTGATTATCACTTTAAATAAGCTCAGGGTTTGTACTGTCTTCCATATGGTTTCCAATTTGGTTTCCACTCTTGATGTGAATTCATAGATATTCTATAGTCTCTACTGAATCTGGGGGCCTACCTCACTGCTCTTCTGTTTTTACATAAAGTAATATACCTTCTCCTTTCCTCTTTTCCCCCAAATTAATCAGTTATTACTCTTACCATTGAAATTTTACTTATCCGTCTCCCATACTCATCTACGCCGTAGACAGCTGCTTTTTAGTGAATCTCTACCCCTTTGTATCCCAAGTCACTGATATTTCAAAGTGGCTGACATGCTTACATACTTATTAACAGTGTGGGAAATGCAGTGAGATTTTGGAAGAGATGATATGGAATAGAAAGCGAGTATCAAGGCTGGTATTGGCATGAGGTTTACCAACAAAGTCCTCCTATTTATATAACTAGGCCATTGTCTTCTGACACCTTAAGATCAGGATCATGTGAAATTCAAAAGTTCTGAGTGATTGTACCTGACAAATAAATATGTAGGCTATTTTTCCTTAAACTGTTTCGTCTATGCTCTAGTCAATATTTTAGTTGATCTTCATTTAATGTTACAACTTTAGAGGCTTACTGATACTCTGTAAGTGATAATCCATTTTTTAAAAAATCACTACAGTTAATACTGTATCTATACAGAAAACAACTTCACTAATCAAAAAGGGTTCTATTCAAATAAAATCTACTACCAAGATGCCAACATTGCTTCTCTAAGGGTAGAAATTTTATAGGCTTCACGTTAATTATGTCCTTAGGTTCTAGATATTTTGTGATGTAAAGATCATTTTTTCACGAGTAGTTAAATTTTAGTCATCTACTTATTTTTCATGGGATGGAGCAATTGTAATTATTTCACAACAAGCCCCCCACAATTTGAAATAAGGGGCTTGCTTAATTTCTTTCTCATCAATACAAAGTAATCCAGCAGGTTGGCCACACAATAGCCCATAGAAGAGGTGAGAAAACTACAATCCAAGGGTCAAAGTCTGTTTTTGTGAAGAGTGACTGACTGGACCACAGCCTCCCTGGTTTATCTGCAAATTGGCTATGGCTGCTTTTGCACTGGAATGACAAAGTTGAATAGTTGAAAAGAGACCTTAGAGTCCCCAAAGGCTAAAATGTTTACATCTGGCTCTTTGCATAAAAGCTTTTGCTGACAAGCTGGTCTATCTAAACATGTCTTGTTCTCTTATCCTGTGTCTTTGATCCTACGATAAAAATAAGATGTTGTAGGGGCGCCTGGGTGGCGCAGTCGGTTAAGCGTCCGACTTCAGCCAGGTCACGATCTCGCGGTCCGGGAGTTCGAGCCCCGCGTCGGGCTCTGGGCTGATGGCTCAGAGCCTGGAGCCTGTTTCCGATTCTGTGTCTCCCTCTGTCTCTGCCCCTCCCCTGTTCATGCTCTGTCTCTCTCTGTCCCAAAAATAAATAAACGTTGAAAAAAAATTAAAAAAAAAAAAGATGTTGTTATCTATCATTCCAAATTCAACTCTAATTATAGTTATCTTTACACATTAAAACGTATGTATACTTCTTGGGAATGACAAAATAGACTATTTTAAATTTAGATGTTGTATATATCTATGATGTTTCCATTTCTTTGATGATGAAGAAATTTGGGTCTGTTGTAAAACTCACAGAGTAGCTACAAAGATCACCTAAAAATTATAATTGGCTTAGACAGTCTCAAGAGAGAGTATAACAGGATTTATAAAATTAAAACACCTTAAGAGAGTCTATATCCAATGGAAAAAAATCACCCTCTGTTGGGAATCTGGAGAAGACACTAGGTAAATTCATGTAAAATCATCTGGTAGGATTACCAGAGGAATCAGGGTAAGTCAGATGACGTTGAGGCAGGGCTTACATATTGTGTTTTCTTGAACTATCTGAGGAGATAGAATCTAGATGGATTCAGTGCTGGCATGTGACCTTCTAATACAAAAACTCTTACCTCTTGATGGTTAAATGTATTCTCTTGGACTTTGCCATTCAGTGTTTGAATATTGAGCTGCAAGTCAAGCAATGTGATATTCAGACTGATTAATGACTTGGAGATTTCATCTATTGCGTTTCCATGTCCCTGAACTGAGGAAACCAAGGTGCTCAGCTGGAGAAGAACATCATTGAATCTTTGATCAGTCACCAGACTAAAATTTTGGAAATGCTCTGAATCTATGAGATTGGCTTCTGTATCTGAAATAAATTGGATTCTCTTCTCCATGTTGTTCATTTGTTCCATTACAGCTTCTCGAAATCTCATTTCTTCTTCACTGTCATTTGCTTTTCCTGCGAGACTTTGAGACATATCGTTTGCATTAATTGAACCAACTGTGCAATTCTTCATTTCCCACTTCAGGACTTGCACTGTATATTTAAGGAAAAATAAACAAAGTCATGACCAGTAGCCTTAAATGCACACACCATTCCATTCCATATCGTTCCAATCCACTGTAACATTCTGAAGGCCATGCAAACTAAACCAGGTGTTTATTTTAAATACACAATGTGTGAACCACACTACACCTATTGCCGAGAGGAAGACACTCTCCTTCTCCCACTTTACTTTAGAATTTATTCCAGGATCAAGTCATTCTTTCTGAATTGCTGCTTCTATGCATCTTCCGAGCCACCGCATTTGGCTTTGACAGTGAGAGTAAATTCTACAGATCGTGAAGTGCATTGTATCCTATTCCTCAAGGTACGTTAGGATAAAATGAGATAATGCTTAACACGTCGGAAGCAAGTATGTTGAATACATTAGCTGTTACGAAGATAAATGATGTGACAAAAACACTATCTAGTAAAAGTAGAAGTATCAGTGTTAACCACTGTATGAACAAATTTTTGGCTCATCTTCCTCATCCAGTCGCTTAAGCTGGCAGAGAATTGTCATCTTCAGTTTATACAGGCCTCATTTATTATTGGTGGAACAGGAAATGGGGCAAATAATTTTTTTCACTTTAAAAAATATTGTTCTTTTAAGATTCCCCTTTACCTATGATAAAATATATACTCATGACAGAAAAAAGTTTAAAGACAGGTAATGAAGAAAAATAATCGACCACTAATCTCACCATCCTCAGTTAAGTGCTAACATTTTGGTGTGTGTATACCAAATCTGTCTTTTTTCACTAGTATACAATTATTACAAAAATAATTTTAATACCTACGCCATATTCTCTGAATGGACTACCAGATTTATTTAACAACTCCCCCACACTTCATTTGTTCTGTTTTTACTAAGAGATCCAATACTTTGACAAACAATCTTTTAAGTAATCATTTCCTGAAAAAGAAAAAAAAAAGAATCTACTAAATGGTATTTGGGGGATATACAGAGCCGCTGATATGGATTTCCAAATTGGCATATGTTCTCTAAATAAGCTAATTGTCCTTCTGAAAGGATCTAGAGCACTATGTTTATAGTTTCAAATAATGAAAAGCATAAACATTAGCTTTGCAGACAAAAATAATACAAAATTATACATAATAAAGAAAATGTTAAGTATCATTTGATCCCTGTCAGTGAGACTTTTTTCCCTATCTCCCTCTGTATCTATCTATATTATTTTATGCACATGTCTATCAGTCTTTTGTGTTATTTTGAACACATTTGATTTTTCATATTTGGCCATTACTGAGCAATAAAAAGAGTAACCTCATATAGTTTAAAAATAGATCTACATAAATAGCTATACCTGATATGCCAGTTGTTTTTTTTTAACTTTTTTTTAACGTTTATTTATTTTTGAGACAGAGAGAGACAGAGCATGAACGGGGGGAGGGGGGGTCAGAGAGAGAGACACACACAGAATCCGAAACAGGCTCCAGGCTCTGAGCTGTCAGCACAGAGCCCGATGCAAAGCTCGAACTCACGGACCGTGAGATCATGACTGGAGCAGAAGTCAGATGCTTAACCGACTGAGCCACCCAGGCCCCCCCCCCCTTTGTTTTTGTTTTTGTTTTGTTTTTGCCAGTTTTTTTTTTTAATAAAAATGATATGGCAATATGATCACCCTTATAGATTTTTGAGAATTCAGTGAGATAACATATAAAAGATCATTATTTCCACTCCAAGCTCAAGGGTACTTAAACAAATGAGAGGCTGGTATTTACCCAGGAACAAGTTGCCTGATTCTAGAATCTAGCTCCTTTTCTCAATGACTAGCTTAGGCACTCTGGGAAAGTTCTCTTCTTGCTTAAGTTCCCCAAAGATTGAAAAGTAGTAACTACTTCTAAGTGCGTTGGAGGATGGGTGAGATAAGGCATGTAAATCTCATAGCATATAAATGGCCTCTATGAAAATTCTCTTCAAATTAAAGTGCCTTATCCATGAAAGATATGATCTTAGAGACTGTCTTCACTAGCTTTAGTTAAAGAAGCTGTTTGATAATGTTTGTTTTTGTAACTATTATCATATGAGGAATAAGCATGAAACTATATATGCAATTAAATCCCAAGTTAGTTTTTAGAAGTATTATATATAATTCTAAAAACTATATATATATATATACACACACACATGTGTGTGTGTGTGTGTGTGTATATATATACACACACACACACACATATATATAATAGAGAGAGCGTGCACGCACAAGTGGGGACAGGGGCAGAGGGAGAGAGAAAATCTTAATGAAGCACGCTCCATGCTTAGTGTGCAGCCCAACACCAGGCTCGATCCCACAACCCTGGGATCAACCTGAGCTAAAATTAAGAGTCAGACGCTAAACCCACTGAGCTACCCAAGTGCCCCAATCCCAATTTTAAAAAGCACATATTTTCCTCATTATGCTCTCTTCAAAATTAGTTTATCTGAATGAATGAACTCTTGCACTACATTTTGACAAGATCCCACAGAGTGTGTGTTATTTTATACTTAATTTATCAAGAAAGTGGACAAAAAGTGTATTTTTTAGTTGGATCTCATCGCATTTATTACATTAAGTGTGGGGAGCACGCTCTGGACCGACAGCCTCATTCATACATTTAATTCTCTGGTTTATTTATGAAGCACCTGCTGCATATAAAGCATTGTCTGAGCAACTCTGGGAGGATAATACCGGGAATGGATTTTGACTGTAATAATAGAGACTCAAACTAACAATTTTTACAAAACTATTTCAAAGACGTCCCTTAAAAATTTTCATTTCACGATGATTATTGCTTTTTTAGGTAGCAGCTAAGAATCCAGTTTCTGGAGTAGAATGGCCTGGGTTAGCAACTCTTGCTCTTTTCTTTTTAATCCGTGATCTTGGACAAGATCCTCTGTCAATGCTTCTATTTTACTACCTGTGTGACAGGACACGACCAGTCAGTGTTCACATAATTAAATGAGCTAATAGAGGTGAAGCACTATTTCTGGGCATACAACAAGCATTTGTTAACTTTGAGCTTTTTTGTTATTAATATTTTGGATTCCAAATCTGTGACTTGTGTATCTGTATGTACAATACTGAAAGTATCGATGGGGGAATTAATATCGTTTAATATTAAAACATGGCAGGGGGAAGGTGGGGCGTTGCAATGAGCATTGTACTTTCTGCACTTTATTTTACTCAGCGCAGTGATCTAATGCTCAACCCTGGAATTCTTCGCTCACTGAAAATAACTTCTATTTCATATGGAGAGAGCAAATCTTTCCCACAGTACCGAAAAGGAAGACTTGAGCTGACAGAATATCATGTGACCAAGGGTTTCTATCTGACATTGAGCTCAATATACAGTTGACAATAAAGGCTTATTTCGCTTATAGATTTACAAACACAACACTGCTTGTTTTCCCAAATCCTGTATAAAAACTAATTTCGAACTAACTTCTCAAAAAGCTGTTTAACTCTGTATCATAAATCTAGGTAAAGAACGTCAGAGTTCAGATTTTCAAATGTTCATTTCTTTCATTATCACTGGGGAGATGGCATTTTGTGACTTTTCTGTTTCACATTTGAAAGGAGACAAACTTTTATGGCTTATGCAAACCCCCAGGGAGAGAGTGATATTTGATTTCACAGATCACATTTACTCCTTCATGTCGCTAATATCTTCTCCTGCCAAAAATTTGTGTTATTATGAACTAAAGAATCTTCAGTGTTTCAGCAACAATTATGTATACATTAATCCTAGATTGTATTTTATTGTCCAGAGATGTTACTTCATTGTACTAGGACAGGGATCCGGTAGTTTCATTAAGAGATGATAGCATATGGAGTAGACTTTATCATTAAAAGTATCTTCCACTGTGTAAGACATTTTCAATTTGAAAAGAGTTTTTATGCACATCTTATTTCATCCATCAATTCCTGTTTGCCAAAAACAGAGTAATTTTTATCTTTTAGGAATATATTTTGCCCTTATTTGTAATTATTTTGTCTCAGGTAGAGATCTGTATTACATTTGGGCGTTTTTTATTTTTTGGAAAATATTCTGATCGGTAACTTAAGTTGAAAATGGATTGTCAATTGTTTATTCAAGTATGATAGAAATAGTGACATCTAGTCCAAATTCTGGTGAATTTGAATGCTAATGTGAACATAGGAGATTTGAAGATTTTTAACTTCTTGTCAATCCTACAGGTGCCTGTTTAGTTTTAGGAAACAAAAGTACTTTAGATCAGTCATTTCAACCCAACAATGAATGTGGAAATTTGGTAGTATTTTCAAACCGCCCAAAGATTTTGAACTTGGTTAGAATACTGAATTCTCTCCAGACTTCATGGATCCATTCTGCACATGCCTGTTAGGCAGAAGTGGCACTACCTGCCGTTGACTCTGCAGGCCATGGTTTGTATAAAAGTGATGAAATTTACCCAAATTCTAACTGGCTTATAGCTAATTATTCCAAGCAATGAAGCACCTTTCAATTGTGCATTTTAAGTGAACAAGCATATACATGATCAACATACAGATAATCTAAATTCATCAGGAAGTCAGTTGTTTAATGACAGACATACTATATTAGGTCCTTTTATGTGGATGGCTGTGGTTGGCTTGATTGGTCAGTTTAGTTTCTTGTGGTTGTTTTTGTTTTTATTTGTTTTTAATGGCCAAAATAGGAATTAATTAATTTTTACATGTGGAAATATTTTCTCAGCTAAAATTATGGAGACTGTTCTGTTTGTGTGTGTGTGTGTTTAATTGGCCAGACACATTTTGTTCTAAATATTTAATTATACTGGGAGATAGTAGACCATAAGAGGTTAGGAGTCAAGAATCATGGATAAGAACTCCAGTTCTACTACTCAACAGTCTCAGTTTCCTTCTGTGGATAACGACAATAATGGTATGTCTGCTCAAGGATAATTGTAAAGGTGTATTAAGATAATCTGTGCGTTGAATGTAGTAAATGCCCCCAAATGACAGCTACTGTCACAACCGTTGTGGTTTTATCATCATTTCTTAGCAAATTTTGGCTCTGTCCTAGAATATTCCTTTAGGTTACCCCTTAGCCAAGAAGGTTTGGCCTTGTGTTAGGAGCACTTTCTTGTTAAGCTGAGTAGTATGCATATAAAAATGTATCTTACTCCTCACTTGTTAGAGCCTACATCCAGACATTTTGCCAGTCATAGAGATGAGGACAGCCACAAGGCACAGAAGTTCAAATGCCAATCAAATCCATCAAAAAGGCTACCAAGGGGAGTCATTTTTACGGATCTGACTCAGTTATAAGCGGGCCACCCACCCCTGTAGAAACCCTCAAATCTATCCCCAACTGAAGTCAGACTTGCCAAAGAAACATGTGCCTATAAAATATTCTTCCTAAGTAGTTTGAGGGATGCTATGAGGTTATTTTTAGAAATATTTAAAATAATAGCCTTATGAAACATGTGACCATATAAACCACAAAGATTTTACTGAAGCGTAGACCATTATTTTACAAGGTCTACTCCCTTTGAAGACTTATAGGAATATTTCTTTCTCCTCCCAATGCTATGAACAAAAGAGCTTTCACTCGAACTGGCTTGTTTTGTTGTTGTTTTGTTCTAGGCACTGTTCATGTAAACGATCCTGTTTATATCTTCACCTTGGCACCTGGAATACTGATCATAAAATATGTGCCCCCACTGCTTGAAGTGCATAAAACTCCAGAGGATAACCTATTTTTTCAAACTGTCTAATCCATCCCATCTCCTCTCTACCTATCTATATTTTACCTTAATCTTCCATTCTCTATTTCATATTTTTTACTTAATAACTTTGAAGAATCTTTTTATTTATGAATTTGAGGAATACTTTGTCATATGATGTTTCCCTTATGAATCTCCCATATGTGAAAGACTGAATGCTTTCCTTTGTTTCTACAAGAACTAGATGCGTTGTTGAGTTTCAAAACTCTAGAATACTGTACCTGCCATTATTCCGATGATAGGCACGAGAACTACAAACACAAGGAGATAAAGGGCAATCAGTGCAGCTTTGAGAGACTTCAGTTTCTCTTGTAGGGTAGGACCATTTTTAGGATCTAAAACAACAAAAGCCCAACCTACTGTTAGAAAACTTACTCTTCTTATTTACTTAACATTTTGCAACCTCCAATTCTATCATTACTACCAAGCCTGTTGGAATGAAAGGGAAACGCAAAAGTAGGTCGTTGTGTATTTACTAGGAAGCAAAACGAACAGTCATCGACCGGATAGGCCAATACAGGTATCACTATGAACATCTGATTTACTTCCCATTAACTAAATATCTATGACAAAGTTAGTGTCCTCCACGACTTGTACTTGTCTCATATTGGGGCACTAGTTAGTTGATAAATTTCAATAATGATACCAACATACTCAAACGTAAATGCTATTCTTCTGGTTCATTGGGGAATAGATTCTGGGTAAAAATAAGATTTCTCAAGTCATTACATAATTATGCATTTTTTTCAGAGTTTAAATCAGGTAAAAGACATCTGTTTTCAACGGTAATTATGCAAATTTTCTTTTCCAATTTCATCTCAATAATTTGGTATTTGGAGATCTCTTGATTTCAATACACTAAAAAAGAAAAAAAAAGAAAGAAAACTATTCACATTTTGACTAAACTTTGGAATGGATCGATGAAGCTGATCCTCTGGGTGTTTCAGAAAATATTAATATTTTTATATTATCCATTTACTTGGAACAGCGATTCACATAGTGGGATACTAACTTTGGAAAAGTTAACTCAATGTAGAGGGGAATGTTAGAAGATGAAGCCATTTTCTCTGATTAGTGAATAAAACGTCTGTTAAAAAATTCTTTCCTGAGGCCCCTGTTTTCATTACACAATAAAAAATATTTTGTTTTCAAGTTTAGCTATTGTTTGATAATGTTCTATGAGAGACTGAAAGGAAACTTAGAGAAAATTTTTAAAAGTAAAAATAAGAAAAAAAAAGTTATGAAGAGAAAGATCTCTTCATAGGGAAAAGAAAAAGAACAACCCACAATACAGGTAAGATGGGCGATCGCTTTGTCAGGTTGAATGAGCCTGAAACCCAGTCATCTCCCTTATGTTCAATTTACAATCAGTCCTCTGCATTGTGCCTTTTCAGTAGCTCTCCAGTTTCTGTCGTCTTTCCTGTCTCCAATACCTCTGTCCTCCCTCCTCAATCTCTCTGTGTTTCTACCTTTAACAGCTTTCACTAGGGTCTTTTTCCTTTTGCCTCATGGGTGCCATGTTCTCCCATCCACTGTTGGTGCGGTATCCGTCGCGCCTTGGGGTTGTGGTCTGTATTTCAGGTTTGTCTATAGAAGAACTCATAGATGTTGTCACTTGCATATGCTCCTTCCAGTGACTCAGATTTCTCTGTGGATCCTTTTCACTCACCCAATCCTTTTGGTGAAATGTATTCAACCTTTGAAGCTCAGCAGAATCATACACAACTCTGTCCTCCTGCCTTAAGAGAGCCTGTCCAGATCTAGCCAAATATGGATTCTTTTGAGCTCTTGTAACCTGTGCAAAAATGGTGCAGTACTGTTGTGCACCGACTTGTTTCCCCCACAAAAGTTACTGTTGAAGACTTAACACTAGTTGCCTGTGAATGTGACCTTATTTGGAAATGGGGTCTTTGCAGGTATAATCAAGTTAAGATGAGGTCATACTGGAGTAAGGTGGGCCCTTAGCCAATGAATGGTGTCCTTACAGGAAAATGACACATCAATTCACAGGAAGAAGACCAAGTGAATGAAGATGGAAGCAGAGACCGGAATGATGCAGTTATAAGGCAAGGAACACTAAGAATTGGCAGAAGCAAATAGAAGCTAGCAAGAGGTGGGGAAGGATTATTCCCTAGAGCCTTGAAAGGAGCATGGCCTGCTGACATCTTGACTTCAGATTTCTGGTCTTCAGAACTATGAGAGAATAAGTATTATTTTAAGCCACCCCATTTCTGGTGATTGGTTACAGCAGCCCTAGGAAACTAATACAAGTATATACCACCCCTGATTTTCAAATATTAATTAATGGTGCAAAGGGTATTGTCATTGCCAGGACCTAGTCCAGGGGCTGAGAAATCAGAGGACTCCATCAACCTGTGGACTAATTTAACCTGTGACAAAGCTTCCTTACTCGAACCTAAGCTTAGTTTCCAGTCTGTCTCAAAAGAAGAGAAGATCTACTCATCCAATAAGTCTTATGTTAACACTCATGCACAAGTAAGGTAAATCCCAGGGCTGTAGTTTTACGTAGTGTCATTAACTACAAGGACACAACCTCCATGGGCACCCCACCCTTCTACTCACTCAGAGGAAGCAAGGCTGTCATGGAGCGGGCATCGAACTTCACGGATTCTGAGCAGCTATCAGCATCATCCTGGTGATCGGGAAACCTATCCCACGGTTCCATACTTCTAGCAGACATGTGGAAAAAGACATTCGTTACCCATGAAATGTCTAGGGCCCTTGGGCGGAATGTCTCAGGTTGAAATTTATACTTACAGTTCAATTTTAGCAAGGAAACAAGTATCATTAATTACTTAAATTTACATATCCACCGCAATATACTGTACCTACTAAGTTTTAATTTTAACATTAAAGAGAGACCTACCCTACATGGAATCTACTCATGTATCGTTCTATGGACAGATGTGTATCTGTGTTTGTAGATGTGTGTTTTTCGAGAGTGAGAAGTGACATTTCTTTCTTACCTAAAAACAAAACACAAAAAACAACTTTTCTCATGTGACAGAAAACAACTGTTTAGCTGAAAAAAAAAATTCCCTTAGAGCTAATAGTTGTGCAAAACTTGTAGCAAATATTTCCTGTGATCTTTTATTAGAGGTTCTGGATAGAACAAAGAGTTATGAATGATTTATAGCAAGTATTTCCAGTGATCTTTTATCAGAGCTTCATGAGCCAGGTTTTCTTGGGCCAAGACATCTGTTTATCACTTTACAGAGACAAAGTCTAGTCACTAGAGTAGGAACCACAGGAAAAAAACAGAATTTTTCTATTGTTTTCTTTCAGGGCTTCCCTCGTTATAGATTGGTAACAACACAAGTGTGTCTTTTCAGCTTAAGCACATTTATATTCTGTAACACAATCTATGCCTATGTCTCTTTAAGATGCATCAGAATCATTTGAGAGGCTTGACTGATGGGCCTCACCCCCACAGATTCTGATATTTAAGGTGGGGGACAAGAATTTGCAATTCTGGGGGGCCTGGGTGGCTCAGTCCATTAAGAGTCCGACTTTCTCGGGTCAGGATCTCACAGTTCATAAGTTTGAGCCCCAGGTAGGCTCTGTGCTGACAGCTCAGAGTCTGGAGCCTGCTTCGGATTCTGTGTCTCCTTCGCTCTCTGCCCCTCCCCCACTTGTGTTCTCAAAAATAAACATTAAAAAAATTAAAACAAAAAAAGAATTTGCAATTCCCACCAGTTTTTTGAATGAGGCTGCAGCCACCATTCTGAGGACCACATCTGAAGAACATTTTGCAGGGGAAAAAAAAAATTGCGTGACTTTTTCTTGGAAACAGTTCAGTTCACTTGATTGATAAATTTAGCATAAAGTCAACATCTTCTGATCATTTCTTATTTTCTGTAATGCTGAGTTAGGGATTTAGTACAGCTGAAGTTTTAACTGAGTGCACAGGCATCTCTGGGGCACCAAACTCATCTCCTGTCTGGGAAATGGAGGGTAATCATTCACACGCAAACATTCATCCTGCTCTGGGGAGATTGGCAAGTAAGGATGTGACTTCACTGTCAATATATATTTTTAAGGATTACCCAGGCGATTCTTTATTTTGCAGTTTGCAATGACACTCCTTGTGTAAGAATCATTCTCTGGATTGGTTGTAGTTCCTGTAAACCCTGATGATTTGACCAAGGACCATCTTTAAATGGTTTGGCCATGGGACAAAGGGTACACAGGTGGAAGGGAAGGCCCTAGATCCTCTTTCATTAGGGCAGAGACAAAGAAAAAGAAATAGACAATTATCTAGGAAAATTGACCATTATAGAAACCCAAACTGGATCATTCAGATGGAGCCTCTCCTGCTATTTCCCTGGTTTTAATTTATTCTATTATTTGATTGGGAGGATAGCTTTACTTGCCAAGCAAAACAAACACTTTTAAAACCTGAGACGACAAGAAAGCTTAGCTGAATTCATTTTAAAACTATAGTTCAAAGCACTTGAGACTATGTAGCAAAGGTTTTTATCTTTTAACTCAGCTTATAAAGAATGAGTTCAAAAAGTACACATTTATACATACCCTGCCATTTAACTAGAAATCTCGTCCTGTCAGGCTGCTTACTGGCCCCTTGTCCTTGGCCATGACCATGGCTTTTGCCCTAATATTTGTGGTACTAGAACTTCATTTTCACTTAAATGCAAAAGAAGTATCTCTTATATTGGTCTTCTAGATGGGAATATTTTTGTAAAAAAAGATGAAACCTCTTGAATCTGATATATCTCTTTAGACAGTGAGCTACATAAGAGGGGTGACCATGTCTGTTTTCATTCAATATTGAATTAGCAAGAACATATAGCAACCTATAAGAAAGAATAAATAAATATTTGCTGAATGAATGGTCTAGATTTTTTTTTTTTGGTAAGGTGGAAGACTTAAACATATTAGTTTTGTTTTTTAAACAAGATGGAGGTTTGGAGCTATTGAGACCACAAAGATATGCTTGTGGGGCACCTGGGTGCCTCGGACAGTTAAGTGATTTCAGCTCAAGTCTTGATATCATGGTTGGAGAGTTCAAGCCCTACATCAGGTTGTGAGCTACAGCACTGAGCCTGCTTGAATCTTCTGTCTCCTTCTCCCTTTGCCCATCCCCCACTCACATGCTCCCTCTCTCGCTCTCAAAAATAAACATTAATTTTTTTTTTTTTAAAGAGGTGGGGGTGCCTGGGTGGCTCAGTCACTTGAGTGGCCAGTCATCTTGATTTCGGCTTAGGTCATGATCTCACAGTGTGGGTTCAAGCCCCGCGTTGGACTCTGCACTGACAGTGCGGAGCCTGCTTGGGATTCTCTCTCTCAAAATAAATTAAAATAGATGTGCTTCTTTCAACAGAGAAATTTCTAGTAAAATGGGTTGTGTCCATGATTCAGATTCATTCTCTTCCTTCTCTTTCTTCCTTCCTTTCTTTCTCTCCCCTCACTTCCTTCTTTTCCTGCATTCCTACCCTTTTGATAGGTTTCTTGAACATGAACCACATCTTAGGGCTGGGTGACTAAGTCATGCTGTTGAGACACTGCCATTCATCCTACCCTTTTCCTTAGCAGTACCCATTTTATTTTGTCAGCTCCAGTAGGCACCTAGCTACGGCCACACCTCATTGTGGTTCTCAAGGGAGGATTATGAGCATTGTGGCTGGGACAAGTCTTCTTTGCAAAAGACCATCTTTGCTGTAGAGGGTGTTTATCATCCCTGGTTGCCACTCTCTCCATGTCAATAATGTTTCCTAGTCCTTATATTATTGCTTCCCTGCCCCCCCAAAACAATTCCAAAAATTTTTTCCCTATAACATTTCCAAATACCAATTTGTCTTGGAGAACTGCTCAACAACATAAATCCCCAATGTGGATAGAAGGTCGGGAACTTTCTCTCTGCAATATTTGCTGTGAGCAATCTGTTAACATGTCTTTAATGAAGATTTGTTTTCATGAAAAAAAAAAAAACCATCTTCATGAACTTCAGCAACAACACAGATTGCTCAAATTGCTTTCTGGAGATAGATATCTCTCAAATCATTCCCTGTTTATGTATACATATACAACTCTTAATGTCTATATAAATGCTCTTATAGAAAACGTACACATTTTATTAAAGAGGAAAGAAGGTGGCAAGTCCAGAATGATAATTTACTGATCTAAGTTTGCCCTCAATAAAGCAGGATGAATTATTTTTATCCATATACCTGTTTAGAAGTGCCACATGTTCTTACAACTAAATTTGTAATTTAGAACCCACAGGCTTAAAGGACTTTTTTCGGAGAAAGAAAAAAATTCCACTTTTTTTTTTTAAGTGGCTCTAGAATGCTAGATGCTACACCATGAAAACAAACAAAAAAAAAGATGGTATTAGGATATTTTCTTTTTTTATTTATTTTCTTTTTTTGAGACAAAGAGAATATGAGTGAGCAGGGGAGAGGGGCAGAAGGAGAGAGAGATGGTCTCAAGCAGGCTCTACCCTCAGCACAGTGAGCCGGATGAGGGAATCGAGTTGGACGCTTAATGGACTGAGCCACCCTAGGTGCCTCTAGGATATCTTCAATCAATGACCTTGAGGCAGAAATACCTATTCCCCACGCTCCTCCCTCCAAAATACCTATCGCTTCATGTAGGCCAGTCCAACCAATTCCTATTTTGTGTCTTTATATCAAGCACTGTGCAAAGCACTAATATGCCAAGATCAATGTGTATAGAATATTCACAACCACTACAGTCTTATGCATTAATATGGAACAGTAAAATCTTTAGAAGTAATATTCTGACAGTGATACACACACACACACACACACACACACACACACAGCACAGATGCAGTCCAAAAAGGAGTCATTAATTCGTCAGCAAGTGGGTGGTCAAGGTGAGAACACAGAAAAGATGATGCCTTTATCCAAGTTTTTATAAGTGAGCAGGAATTAGAAGAATATCCCAGGGATGGCAAATCTATTAAAGGGCACAAGGGCATGGATGGCATTGAGACTTGAGTGGATCAGCATCACAGAAGCAGCAGTTCTGGACAGAGGGCTGAGCAGATGAGCCTAGAGAAGCATGTGGCTGGGGTAATTCTATTCATCAATTTCTTCTTTAATTTTGCTGATGCATAAATTTATCTGGCTTTGACAACTTACCCAAAATATATTATTGAGGAAGTACCTATACAAATTAAGTAAAAAATTATTCTTTGCATTGGCAGTTGTGATCTGGTTTACATTACAAGTCATAAAATATACACCACCCATTAAATCTTATTTATCTCCCTTTAATACTGAAATAGAGCTGAGGCTCAATTTTGTTTTTCTTTAGGCCTCTAACCTTTCATCTACCTTTTATGGACTTATGCAGATGACATTGTACAAGTTATTGTATTTCAAAGTATAGTTTCTTTGAGTCAATTTTTTAAAACCTTGAAAAAGAAAATCCTCTAAGATGTATCTACAAGTGGACTAGCCTAAGTGACCATATGTGGGCTACATAAAACCCCTGAGAGGTACGGGGGGGCTGGAAGGGAGATGAACACTCAAATCTGTGGAGTAGAATGGTGAGTGAAAAATACTCCCCTCTGGCTACTCCTGTGCATCACGGAAAATTCTGTTTGTTTTCCAGGACAGTGTATGAGAGATGGTGGTTAATCTTGAACTGTATGAAACACTGGCATAGTCTTTTCCAGAAA